TGCCCTCCAACATTCCCCCACAATTCATTTGATGCTGCAGCCACACAGCTCACGTTCTGCTATGCACTACTGCAAGCATGTGCTGTGCCCTAAAGATGCTTTTATTCCTGGTTCACCTGCACATTCCCCACAGGCTGAGGGCCAGAGATAACTCCACCGCTCTGCTCCCTCAGACCAACGAACCACTCTCCATCACCGGGGGGGGATTTACAGAGATAAGGACTGCTGCTGATCCCATCTCTTTGGAGGGAATCAAATGCTTCTAGATCAGCTGAGGTTCACTGTGGGATACTTAGATAGTCAGAGACAATGGTGCATGCATATACAAATAACCTTCATACAACAAATATACTGTATGTCATCCTATTGGATTATTGTACACCACTGTACAACAGCTAAACAAGTTTTCCCTCCTTCAGAGGCTCTGTTCTCTCAAAACTGCACAACAAAAAGGCTCAGCTTTTTTTCTCTTCTTTATTTTGTCATTTGTGCCCATTGGTTCCAAAATGTGCTGCCTACATTTGGCATTGGAGGTAAATGTTCCCCTAGCACACACTCATTATTTCAATCCTCACAAGGCTGTGGACAGGCCCGGCCTCTCTGACAGCGTTTGATGCTCTCATGCTCTTTCTCTGTGTCACCACTTCTTCCACTTGATGGAGAGAGTTTTTTTTCCCCTTTTCTTTTTTTTGCCTTTTGCTGTAAATTACATGTTATCAAGGTTACCTGGCTTTGTGTGAGCAAGTGCAGTGAAACATTTCATGACATTAGGTTACTTTGTATCATCCTGCGTGTTCACACATTGAAGTAAAAAGAGCGTTCTGCAAAAATGTTGCGGAAACCCTTCCACAATATGATTTCATCATAATTGCATCTGTTTTTTTAAGGGTGTTTTTCATGACAAAGATACAATAAATTAAATATTTTTGCAGCTTTTCCTTGAGGCGACTCAATTTTCTTTTATTAAAATCATTCTAGGCCCGTCACCTTCTTGATGTTTTTTTCCCCTGACTGGGTTAAAGTTGACTTCCCTGCATATGCACGTAACAACGCAATAAATGAATGAGAGCACTTAGAAAAAACAGTGAGGTGTAAGATCTCTATGCCTGAAGCATCTTTGTCACGTCTTGCCTATCTGGTCTAACCTGGTTGGCTTTTTCTTTTTCGTAAATATACAGTGAACCTCTAACCATTCCCCATTTGCTCCGCTTGGTTTTCAACATGAAGGGGAATGCTGAAGCAGATAATAATGCAGTCTACTGTACAGTCTCTGGGTACTGAAGTCTGATAAAACAATGTGATGGTAGAAGAGAAGAAAAATCAGCGAGGAGCAATTTTTCTGTGCTGGATTGTTCTCTTTGATCTAGAGTGCAGTGAAAGGAGGGCATTATGTAACGTCTTCAGCACACACATGGCCGACTGTGTGACTGCCAAACACACGGGGGGAGTGGTAGTGGTGGTGGTGGGATGCTGTGGCAAAGCGGGGGAGGCAGACAGACAAGAGGAAAGAGATAGGGCAATGGAAGACAGTAGTAGATGGACGTGAGAGGAGAAACACTGCTGCTCATATTGGTGTTGGGTCACTTTCCTTATTAAGGATGCTCAATCAAATAGCTGTAATATAGGCCCCAAGAAGCCTCATAATGAGACATGAGAATTTCCCTTAGTGATGTTTCAAACATTTATCTGCTGCTCAGTGCCCACAACACTCTGTCTTAATACACATCCTTTTCCGCCCTTTGTAAAGAAAGGAAATTTGGATAATTATATGGGGCTCTGATCTTGTAAGAAAAATATTGTCTCTAGCTAACAAGAAATATTAGCCCATCATTTGTATGTCCTAATTGGAAGCAACTCATTCTGTTGAAGGAACAACAAAACGGCAGCACAGTCATGCTATTGTGCAGCAGATGGCCCTATAAATCAATCATTTACAAATCAATCCATAATGCATAAATGTATGAAATTTAAGCCAACTGTATCAGTAGGAAATCACTGGCTGTGTCAAGCACCATACGGCCATTCAGCAGGCCAAGTGTGCGCAACAAAACAGGTCAAAGCTGAGGCAGCATGCAACAGGGGGATGTAAAGGAGAAATGTATTAATAGGATCCTGCCAAATCAATCTAACATGCCCACCACACAAGAGGGCCTTCTCAAGAAGGATCTGTCTTAACTGACGGAAAGAGGAAGTGAGGAAAAGGCAAAGAGCGATTGGTAGAGCGAGTTGGTGGTGGTGGTGTGCGGCTGAAAACTGATGTTGAGATGGCCTGACAGGGTCTGTTTCTGTTCATTGCAAGACTGTTATCCAGAGTGACCGTGTTGTCTTCCCTTCCCTCCACAAAGGTTATGCCATTGCCAGCAGTCCACATGACACAATGAATGAGCCACAATTGCTGGAGCAAGAGACGCTCATCGCGTCAGTCTTAAAGTGTGTACAACCCTGCACTCAATCCATACCGCATTCAAGAGTCATTTATGGGTAAATCAGAGTTGGATCTTAACATTCCCCCCCTTGTTTGCGACCTATAGTGAGGCTGCGGCTGCATTTTAGAAATGACATGCTCGGTAATCGGGTGCGTTGGGCTGTCAGCTCAGGGTGCATGATCTTGCCAGCATGACTCAAGTCTGCCCGTGAGCTGCTTCCTGTGCCTGTGCATCTACTCCAGTTGCTTGTATGATCTATTTTAGATTCTTTTGCCCAAGGATGTGTGTGCATCCTCACAGCAGAGAGCCAGAGAAATAAGAAAAAGAGGAGGGGGAATAGATAATGTTCAAATAATCTACAGGCAATCATGCAAATTCCCCAGACGTGTACTCGGGGATGCTGTACAGAGGAGTGCAAGACTTGCATTCATTTCAGGACCAACATATGTGGAAATATGCAAAAGAAAGGATGGAATCTATCAGGCTGACCACAAAGGCCACTTTTCCAATTTAGTCATTGTTAAAATGAGTCTGTATTAAAATCAGATTTATTTTAACTCCACACCCTGTTCATAGCGCACTGTGTTGAACTGGTTGGTTCATTCCTTTAACGTAGCCGAGAGCAGAATGGAGAGGACAGCGTTCAACATGTGTGTCTTGACCGTGTCTGAAAGAGTCCATCCTGTTACAGCAATAACTGGAGGCAGCGACTTAGAGACCAGTCCTTCATCGCAAGCACAGATGTCATGCTCCTTGTGGCCTTCACACTCACTGAAGGGGCCAAGCCGAATTTGGCGTGACCCTGATGTGTCATCTTCATTTAGACACCAGTTTCCCGTCATCCACCAATGTGCCCTGATATCTGTGTACGTGCACTCGTGTGGGTCCGTGATAGTTTTTTGTGCAAGAAGGGAAAATGTGGATCTCCTCTCCATAATCCCACACGAGCAGGCGTTCTTGGAAGGAATGGTGCAGCAGAAGCAATGGGCATTGTGGCTGGTGAATGGCTGGGGCTAATCTTGTGGAGGCAGTGATCTGTTGGAGGGGCTTTCGAACCGATTTGAGCCTGAGGAGCGAAAGCAACAACAACCAAAAACTTTTCTAGTTTAAAGATTTTGCGTTATGAATGGTGCTCAGCAAATTCAAATCAGCCAAACTGAAGTGGAGGTATACTCATTTACATTTTCATTCAGCCTTTAAGGATCCTATTTATAGCTTAAAATTCTATGGATATGCTAATCCTTCACAATGTTTGCAACACATAAATACATCTACAATTGATCCTCTAAAGCAAGAGTCTGGGATCTGGAGTCATGTTGGGTAACATCTACAATGTACTCTGCTGTCGGCATGAATATCTTGTTACCTATAGAACCTTTTTACATGCAAAGTACATTTTCAAATTACTCAAGAAATGCTGCATCCATATCAATCTTCCCAGAGTGATGACGCTTCTGCCTTTGTTCGATCTCCAAGGACTGGAGAATTTAGCAGGGGCCCGTACAGTGGTTTAACACCACCATCTGCTGGTTGGGAAACAGAAGAGGAGGAGGAGACAACAGCCTGGTTCCACAAGAATTATCAGTCATATTGTCCTATTTTCATTAAACATATTAACATGAAGGCTAAAAGGCTTTCAATCAATCCTCATCACTGAGTCACATCACAATCTGCCCATTTTCTCACTTTAAAAGTAATGGATTTTTCCAGCAGCAATCATCCGGCTGTTTGTTACCATGACACACAATCAACCAAACATCTTGGGCCAACTGAGTCCAAAGAGGCTTCAACTGCGTTGTTTCAGGGGGAAGACGTCAGCTGCTTGTCGAGAACACGATGACTCAGCCAGTAGAAATAGAAAGACATTAACTCTTTGGCTGGTTTGAGATCACCTTGTGAGCAGGCCTTTTTCATTTTTCCAGTGGGAAAAATAACATCTGGAAAAATAAATGTGTGTGAATCAGAAGAACCACCAAAAAACTGCACGTAGGATAAAGACGTAAGGACAGAGACACACCACCAATTTAGTAAATACTTCAGTAGTTAACATTAAAAAGCAACAGTTCCTACAATGACATTTTAAATATCCAATTTTCCAGCTTCCCCTCCTGTCCTTAACGGACACTGAAAACACTATGTAACAGAGCTGCTTCAAGAACAAACACAAATATCAGGCATTGTCCAACATAAACAATGGTGATTTAGGGATGTATTAATAGCTACAGTGTAATCTCACTTAACATCTTACCTCTCCTATAAAATGATATTTGTCCGAAGCTCATCCCTCTGAGCCAGAGGTCTGGGTAATTGGTTGATAAATCACTTAACTTTGTAGTCGTGATGGCGCTTGCCCAATGAAAATAGCAAAAGAGCTAGGACTCCTGATTGCTTGGTTTAAAAAGGATTGCTCTAATCAGTTGAACCACCTCATTATTGACTCAAGTGTCTGCAGCATTGAAGTTGAAGTGCAAGATATCTATATAGAGACCAATACAGCTGTACTATAAAACAATAAGCAAGCACGAGATAAGCAACAGCCCGCATTCAACAATTCAGACAAGAAAAATGCAAAGGTAGGCATTTGTATGTTTATTTGGAAGAAATTAAGTACAAAACAGTGGCATTTTCTTCCAGAGAAATAAGGACAAAAGTGAACAAGTGTTACTTTTTTCTATGTGGATGACACCTAGAGCAGGTCCTTACTGCAGACAGTCTTCGAGATATAGGTAGTCTAAATATAGCAATTAAATAACAACGGCCTAATACCCCAAACATATTACTGAAAAATGTACTTGTGTCAAACAAGCATATTCCATGATAATCCCTAAATTCCACTATGGTACACACAGAAAGCTAAACAAACTCTTTAAACTGTTAGTGCAGACATCTCTCTGACACTGCACCAAGTCTTTGATCAAAAGACTGTTGTGTTCCTGCACTTATTCATCATCTGAACAATTGTGGGAAAATAATCGACTTTTAGAAAGTTTTTATAAAATAAAAAAAGCATGGCTAGAAGATAATGAACATCCATGCTACATATGAGGAAACTACTCTGAATAAAAACAAAGTATCTATGATCATTCCGCGCGGCGCAATGATAGTCTTATATGAGTGAAATAAAATACAAAGACAGGATAGTGATGTAACAATTGAAAAACTGTAGAATATTAATAAAAATTTATGTTTTCACAGACAGTTAATTGACATACAAAAAAAAAATCTGAATTTACAATACCATTTCTTAATCAGTGTTGACAAATATGTTAAACTACAACAAGAGAATTTCAGATGGGTGAGAAATTCCCGATTTTTGTAGCTCATACCATGACATCACCGTGATTCTAAAAAAGAAACATACAGGTCACTTCAGGTGTGTTTGCTAAACACAACTGAAGGGACTGGTAAGTGTCAGGTAGTCACAGAGGCACGTTGATTCCTACTGGTGAATTAAGGACTTTGTTTTAAGGGAAATCAACCACTTTGTCACTGAAGCAATGGAGACATCCTCTGTTGTTCTCATTAGAAAGAAAGAAATCAGTTAGAATTCTGTTGCTACTATGTTTTGCCACAACATTAAACTATTGACATGTTCAGAATAAATAAAGTCACTGCAAATAGACTGTGCTACAGAAGGTCAGATTTAGCTGTATTCAGTCATGTATAAAGCTCTAGCATCCAGCTCCACAGAATAAAAAAGCAATGAAGCCTTTCAAACTGCATTCAGACAACCTTGCCAGAGGCTGTGACTTGTAGATGGATGCTAAGATATATACCTACATATAGTAATGAAAACCAGATACAAAAAATATATTGAGTACAACTGTACCAGCAGTGAGTATTTCTAAAATGTTACAGATAAAAAATAAATTCTGAGTAAATATGGAGTTACTTTTGTGTCATTATTATACAATCAAAAAATTCATTTGAGAGCAAAACTATCAACAATCAAATTTATGATTACAAACATCATCCAAAAGTTTTGTTTATGAATCCAAAATTAAATCCTACGAAAGACAAGTCTCTACTGGCCAGTCTGGATCAGAGTGACACCTTTGCAACATCCACAGTTAGTAAACACGACAGGGAGTTTTGAAATCCGTGGATAAGACAGAGCTAGATCAAAGAAAATCAATGCCGCCTTGCATGAATAGATGTGTAACAACGTCCAAACAGCGGCTGGATCAACCGGGTTTATACAAATGATGGCTCGCTTGACGTAGGCAAAAAGCAATCTACATGCACAAGTTCAAACACAGCATTCTTGCTGTTACTAAGACGGCATTGATTTTCTTCTCCACAGCCTTCAAAACTCCCTCTTAAGTTTACTAAAGGTGGATGTTACCAAGCAGTCACTCCAATCAATCCTCAAAACTTTTGGATTTGCAAACCAAACTTTTTGATTACATTTTTAAATCACAAATTTGTGGGTGACAAAAGTTTTGCTCTCAGACCTATTTTCTGATTGCATAATAAACACACAAAAGTAACTTCATAAGTAAATATATAGTATAGAATAAGGTTTGTAATAGAAACCAGCTATTTGAAACATGCTTTCTAATTAGACACATCTGCTATGATTAATATTAGTTTACTAAGTAATCAGCCACAGTGAGCATATAGGAAGGAAACAGAAAATGATTTAGTTAACAGTGGATAAGTCCAGTTGAGGATCATAAAAAAAAGACAGATTAGTCTAGTGTCTTAAGAAAGGGGTGGGGGGTGTAACCTGCTACATAAACAGCCAGAAACGTAACAATGCAAATGAGACCTGGCTGTCATTTTCAAGTAATATACATAAAAAAGCAGTGTGATTTTAGAATGAAAAAAGTAAAGACCAGATCTATGGCTTATATGTAGATGGGAAAGGCAGGGAATTTCTTTGGCTATTAAGGCAGGTAAAACAGAACATGAGCTCCTAACAACGGACCACACTGTTCTTATCAATGCAAAATTAAATCTATCCACAACTAACACTGTCAACCCAACTATGCAATATTTATGATCTCTTCTTCAACAGAGAGATGTAGCCAATTTTAGAGTAAAAATCAGAGCCGAGTGTTCTAATAAAAGGTCGACCTCCAGGTCTACAAGGGAATTGCCTATGTGAGCACCATGTGTCTTACATTGTTCTTGGCTAAGGGAAGTTGATGCTTGGCAAGAAACGACAGTGGGCAATCTCCACTCTCATATACAAACACCAAGGAAGTGCTTGTAATGTTTACTCCCCTCTGCTTCATGGATCTGCTTCCGGGGTTTGATGACCCCCACCCTTGGCCTTGATTTGGAGCCAGGCATCTCCCAGCGCCTTGGCAAAGTGGTCATCCACTGAACCAGTGATGGACACAGAGTTGGACATAGGCTCTGCTTCTTTGTAATTTTTTCCAAGGCTGCGGCGGAAGTGCTCCTCAATCACAGGATCACTTTCTGTGTTAGCTAAAATAATATTATGTGTGAAGGAAGGAGACCGAAAACCGGGTTATTAACAAACATGTGATGTATAAAAAGAAGAACATATTCATGATTACTCTATCAAGTCAATAAAAATAAACTAGTTTTAGGATTTCTTTGTCAAACTCGAGGCAATAGATAAAAGGGTTATTTGAAAAATGGTTTGGATTGCAATTATTATATACATTAAAATATAATACTCACATAGTAGTGAAGCTGGAGTACAAATGACACTGTTCTCACCAAGGCTCATTTTTAATTAATTCTGAACCATGAGGGAAATAAGAAAAAAAAAAAAAATCTACCGATTTACCAAGTCTACAGAGTCTAGTCAGGTAATACTGGAATAACGATTTGCATAATTTATTATGCAAATAACACACTGTGACACCCAGACAAACCAAGTCAACAACATTGTGTGCTATCAAATTACTTCATCACTTTATACTTAAAATATATATAACTGATTTCATGCCTGTTGTGTGTTTAAAAAAAAGGTTGACGCATGCAGTCGTAGGTTACTCACTACTCCTGCGCTGAACAAGAAGTTGTCTATTTTATATGAATTATAATTTGTTTCATGCAGTCTTTATGCAATTATAGTTTTTTCCACTGAGGTCTATACAAACGTTAACAGCATGATCTGTGCTGCCCAACCGCAGTAAATTGTGTTTCAAATTGTAAATGTATGGTAGGCTACAGACAGAATGGTTTATGTACACTGCTCAAAAAAATAAAGGGAACACTTAAACAAAACAATGTAACTCCAAGTCAATCACACTCCTGTGAAATCAAACTGTCCACTTAGGAAGCAACACTGATTTTGACAATTTCGCTACCAGGAGACAGGCCAGTACATCAGGAGACGTGGAGGAGGCCGTAGGAGGGCAACAACCCAGCAGCAGGACCGCTACCTCCGCCTTTGTGCAAGGAGGAGCAGGAGGAGCACTGCCAGAGCCCTGCATATGACCTCCAGCAGGCCACAAATGTGCATGTGTCTGCTCAAATGGTCAGAAACAGACTCCATGAGGGTGGTATGAGGGCCCGACGTCCACAGGTGGGGGTTGTGCTTACAGCCCAACACCGTGCAGGACGTTTGGCATTTGCCAGAGAACACCAAGATTGGCAAATTCGCCACTGGCGCCCTGTGCTCTCCCACAGATGAAAGCAGGTTCACACTGAGCACGTGTGACAGACGTGACAGAGTCTGGAGACGCCGTGGAGAACGTTCTGCTGCCTGCAACATCCTCCAGCATGACCGGTTTGGCGGTGGGTCAGTAATGGTGTAGGGTAGCATTTCTCTGGGGGACCGCACAGCCCTCCATGTGCTCGCCAGAGGTAGCCTGACTGCCATTAGGTACCGAGATGAGATCCTCAGACCCCTTGTGAGACCATATGCTGGTGCGGTTGGCCCTGGGCTCCTCCTAATGCAAGACAATGCTAGACCTCATGTGGCTGGAGTGTGTCAGCAGTTCCTGCAAGAGGAAGGCATTGATGCTATGGACTGGTCCGCCCGTTCCCCAGATCTGAATCCAATTGAGCACATCTGGGACATCATGTCTCGCTCCATCCACTAACACTACGTTGCACCACAGACTGTCCAGGAGTTGGCGGATGCTTTAGTTTAGTCCAGGTCTGGGAGGAGATCCCTCAGGAGACCATCTGCCACCTCATCAGGAGCATGCCCAGGCGTTGTGGGGAGGTCATACAGGCACATGGAGGCCACTACTGAGCCTCATTTTGACTTGTTTTAAGGACATTACATCAAAGTTGGATCAGCCTGTATTGTGGTTTTCCACTTTGATTTTGAGTGTGACTCCAAATCCAGACCTCCATGGGTTGATAAATTTGATTTCCATTGATAATTTTTGTGTGATTTTGTTGTCAGCACATTAAACTATGTAAAGAAAGGAGTATTTCATGAGATTATTTCATTCATTCAGATCTAGGATGTGTTATTTTAGAGTTCCCTTTATTTTTTTGAGCAGTGTATGTATGTTCATGTACACTAGGGCCGTCCACTTTTTGTTAAAATTTGAACATTGGTTCAAATCTGCAGTCACTTGCCAGCTTGCCAGCAAAGTGAGGCAGCAGATGCACCACAAGCAAGCAGAGCAGCGCTCTGAACAGGTGTTCTTGTGGACAGGTAATATTGTAAATAAAAAGAGTCTCACTTGATCAAGTCAATCGACTTATGTTTCTGGCTAATAATAATATAATTTATGTTGGAAGGTTCATTTTCAGATCAAAGCTATCGGCATTCTCTCTCCTGTAGGGATGAGGATCGTTAATTTTTATTGATATTGACACCCTTATTGAGACTGCTTAACGATTCAATTCTGTATCGATACTTTATTATTTAGCGATGGTTATTTGGTAAGACCAGACCCAAGGGGCATGAGGTAGGCCTGCACGGTATGAAGAAAATATTCAATGTGCAATAACGTTATATATTGAGATGACATATCACTTGTGATAAATAAACATATATTGAAGTGTGCATATTAACTGCCTGGTTGTTTTTAATTTAATATTTTAAATTCAGCTAAATGTTGTTTCTAGAGCAGCAACATTAATGTTTACAACAGCAAAGTAACTCAATAACTTTATCTGACATCACAAGTAGTGAGTGACGTTTAGAAAGAATAACATCAGTCTGTATCAGTCCCTCCTCCTCTCTCGCTGGCTGCAGGTAACGTTACCAGGTAGAAAAAGGAGCGGCTGGTTTGTCTCAGCCAGCAGCTGAGTTTTTAAGACTACAGACCAGTCTGTGCTCCAGACAGACAGCTTTCTATTTAGCTTGTTTTTAACATTTGGCTAATGCCAAGCTAGAGTTAGCTGTGCTTGTATAAAAAAAGATGATTAAAATAACCATTTCTACATGTTTAACGTTACCTTACAGTCAGGTGTATTGATAAAGTATTGTCTTTTTACTTGCAAAGGTTTTATTGCATGTACTATTCAGGAAGGCATTTAAATCTTAACTCTTATTACACTCTGTGTTCTATGTTAATAATACTGTAGCACTTTGAGTTACACTATGAATGAGAAGTGCAGTACAAATTAAGTACATTATTATTATATTGATTTGTGAATACAGCTGTTAAAAGGTTATGGGGGTTTGCATTCAAATTTATTAGAACGAACTACAGAACAAATTAAATTTTGATCTTAGAGACACTTCCACTAAACTAATGTATGTGTTTTGTCAGTAACTGCTTTCAAAAAAAGGCTGGTTTTGGTAAATTAAGCTTAACCAGTTTAAGCTTAATTTTTTTCTGGTTTTAAGAATATGTTGATATGCTGAAATATGAGGCAAATATATTACATAATATATTATTTAAAAGTATTGTATGTGCACATTGTGTATTGTTATTACTTTTGAATGGCTTACCATCAGTCTTCCTCTCATCAGCAGGTGGGCTGGGTGAGCAGCCATTCATGTGGCAGTGTGATAGGTTACAATTGCGGTTGCTTGCGGGGGCACAGGTAATAACGGAAGGACGATTCTATAGGTGGAAAAATTACATGAAATCAGCACATTTACACAGACAAAGTACTATTTACATTTGTAAATTAATTGTCTTTCCTCTTTTTATACTTGTATATTGTATACTTCTATGTACATGCAGCAACCATGCAGTCCAAAACAAATTTCCTTTCAAGGACAATAAAGTATACTACTACTACTACTACTACTACTACTACTATGTAGGGGTTGGTACACATCGTACGGATCTTCTCCAGAGAGACTTGATTCGATTCGATGTTAATGTGTACACATTCATCTACGTTAATCTGGATTATCAAAGGCAAACATCCAAGAAACCCTAAGGGAAACGCAAGAGTGGTGTGCAACAATGTAACAAGAGTAGACCCTGGCAATAGTTTGCAATGACAAGATGAACCATTGCAGTTTTTTTGCGCATGAGCAGTTGACACGTTTGTAGCACGTACAGTCCGCACAGTTACAATTGTTTGGCGGCAACACCTGGTGGACCTTCACGCAAACAGAAAGATGACGACTGACTGATCGATGATTCAAAATAAAAATCATTTATTTATTTTATAACATACTATTTTATCATTAATACCCTATTAAGGTTTAGCTTTCATTCCGTCACCGTGAACCCAGTTGAACCTTCCATAAGTGTTACAAGTTGACGTACCTGCTGCCGCTCTACAGCCCCACTCATGACAGACCTCTCTCTGGCACCGACTCCAATGTCATGGCTGCTTTTGGTTAGCGGTAGGGGCTGGTCTACAGCATAGCCTGAAATGGAAGCATACAGGTGGGTCCCATGGAGACCGTTGGAGGAGGAAGTAATGTGCTCCACAGGAATGTGACTGAGGCTCCACTGCTCATTACGGTTTTCTCCAGCAGAGGGACGGGCCCTTGATAAAGAGAGTACAAATTAACCAATAACCACAAACACCTTTTCATGGATAATTCATACATCGGCTGTTGCATTTCTTCTCTATAAAAAGATGACAGCATACAGCGTAAGTTAGGGATGTGGTCTTGTTTGTCTTTTTTAGTGTGCAGCCCTTTCGTAGTTGTAGGCATCTCTTAGAATTCCTTAATGATTATATGCATGGTTGCACACTTGTCTTGCACAGACTTTGTTGTGCTGGTAAAGTAAGATTTTTATAAGAAGTAAATCCAAATTAGTTGGGCAAGTTAAACCAACTTATTTTGAGATTTAATTCAAGCTCCCACGCATTGAGAAATAAATACACAAATTTGAGTTGTGGTGAGTCCCTGACATTGTAATACAGAATGCCACAGTAAGACCAGATAAACTGTCTTGTCATCTGTGGTAAACATGGTGGCTCACTTTAATAAACCATATTAAAACAAAATGTAAAAAGATTCAGATGATGTACTGTAAAAAACTGAACACAACGTCATACTAAAGACAGTTCAAGCTTCATAAGAATTTGGCATTATGATGATGAGAAAAGTATCCAGTGAACTGCATGTAACTTCATATTACTTGCCACATGTATTGATTAGTACATTTAGGACAAGATGCAATTTACTTGACCAATTGAAAGGCACTTACAGCTGAGTGGCAAACAATCTGCTCATTTTGGTCATGTGGTCATCATCACAGTTGATTCGGTCTTCCATTTGTTCTTCGCCATACTTCCGTTTGCTTGGGCAATGTGGAGGAGGCCCAGTGACGTTGGACATAGCAGTGGGCAGGGAGGGTGTCCTGGACTCATCTGTGGGAAAGGAATCAGCATGACAAAAAATCTAATTAAGTTTATCTTTAGTCTAGCAACAAGTACATAACTCCACACTGAACATGAACTACTTCAGCTTAATAGGTTTGCACGACAATCATTTGTAAGAACTTCCTCCAAACTGTTTGAGTAAAACTTGGCCAGGGCATACAATTAAGCTATCACGGTTTAACCAGATTTATAGTTTCAGTAAACCAATGTGTTAGCCTGTGAAGAAGGAAGTAAAACAGTTCGAGTAAGTGCATTTTACTCAAAGTCAATTGAGCAAAGAACAAGCATTAACTTCTGGAGTAAAATCACTTCCTAAAGACTGAGGAAATTCTGTGTACAACAACTGCACACACTGTTATGGACAAGACATTTCCTGGCAAAAAAATTGTGTATATTCTTAAGATTTTTGGGGGGGAATATGTCCTCTCTAGGGGCACAAAGGTTCTGTTTGACCCTGCTGCATCAAGTTAGGCATAATTTGTAGTGTTAGACAGCTAATATGTAATTTAAGGTCTCATTTCCGGTATTAAAAATGTAACGCTAACGTTACATTGACCACAAGAGTTGCAGTACTCTCGACTAAGAAATAAAACATACACGCACTTTATCCCCAATTATGAGTTGGACCTAGTTCGACTTATATTGCATCACAGTTTACGTAAAGTTGTGTGTTGACTCCAGCTACAGGATATGTAGAAATCTATGCAAGTCGCAAACCAAAACAAACTAGTTATGTCATTAGGGAAACCCCAGCGTGTTAGTTGCACAATTAGGTTAAATATACAGTATAAATACACATAACAAGCATGCTATGGGAAACTAACCTTCGTAGTGCAGTCGCCCAATGTTATTGTTCATCTTGTCCAGGAACTGAGAGTTCAACAGGTCCATTCTAGTGAATAGCATTTACACGAACAGGCTAGTTGCTAACATCGATGTTAGCAAGATACACCAGCGAAGGCAACAAAAAACTTATAACCTGAAAAGAAGAACATGTGGGCAAATCAGATTGTAAATGGCAATGTAAACAATAGTGACAGTAAAATAAAACAGTGATAAGTTGGAAGCTATTTTATCGAAATAGCAAGTGCTCTATTGACGTTAGCGGTTAGCTGGCTATCGATAGGCATCCTGACGCTGACGTTAACGATTCGAAGGCTAGCAGCACCGCTAGCTCAAACATGTAAGCTCGGCTAACTACTACAAGGTCCCCATAGCTTTAACTATAAAGTTATATCCGCTGAGATAGTAGTAATTGTTATTAATACAATAAACAGGGTTGTAAATATTGTTACACTAGTTATTTTTGTCACTAAATGTTATCTAGTTGAAGGAACTAGCACACTAGCTAACTAACTTTAGCTACTTTGTCTATGACACAAACTAACGTTAGCCATTAACAGCTAGTCCCCCAACTTTGAAGTTAGCGGTAGTTAACGTTAGCTTAAATGTCCCCGATTCAACCAGCAAATCCAAACAAAAGTTAGAGTCAGTGACAACTTAACGTTCCTATTGAGTTACGTTCAATGAGTTTATGTCCAACAACAAAATTCCGAAGTAACGTAGCCTAACGTTAACAGTTAATGTTACTCACTTCATCGACAAAATTAGCTTTCCAGCCACAACATCAACACAGCTAGCCCAGCTTGCCTGCACTCACGTACTTTCCCACCGCAGCAGTCTTCAAACAAAAGACTGATGATCGGCCCTAGCGGAGAAGAGGCGAATAGATGCGAGGACACGGTGTTTGGTTTGGGGATCTTCTCGACACAAAAACGTGTTATGACTTTCAGCTAAAAGGGGTATTTGCTACGAACCAAGGTGTGTAGGTCTGCCTAGCAACACTACAACCGATAACATTTACAATAAACTTAATTTAGATACACAACACTGCAGAAGTTGAGAAATGTTTTAGCTAACATAAAACTCAAATAATTAACGCGACCATAAAAAACTTTAAGACTTTGTATCAGCCAAAGGAAGCATGTTTTTTTTAACTTTTAACGTTATAAGGACCTGAGGAATTACATATGCAAACTTAGCTACTGTAAATAATTCAGATGTTTAATTTGTCTTAATCTGTAATGGCATTCATTATGATTTTGCATATTTGACCCAGTCTATGGTACTCATAGATAGGCAGGGCAATATACACTAACGTTACCCCTGTGGTCGCAAAACATAACGCATAATAACTTATTCCCTTTCATCAAAGAGGAGGTTGGTTTTGATGTTCACTACACCACTGCTACCAGTTGATGTCACCCTAGCATCCAGACATAAGCTTTAATGCACGGTGCAGCTTTTCCTAAGCCAAAATACTACAAGTAATATAATTAGGCTCCCCTTATCATGGTCCCTCATGACCAATATTCAAAAAGAAAATCAGACACCCAGGTCCAGTTTCCACGGATATTTAGCCAAGAAAAGCTTGCATCCCATACTCATCTTAGTATGCTGTTCTGCACACTATACTGTATATTGTAAAGAATACAACACACACACTTCAAAAATGGCTTTAAAATCAGTACAACATATTACACCTTCTGTAATTAAATCCTACTCCATGCTCTTTAACAGGGGAAAAAATAGTTATGCAACAGATTATGTATATAAAGAGTAACTGGGCAGTGATGCTAAAATTACAATACAGCGAAACAGAATAACAATAATAAACAAAATGCAATGTTACATGCTATAATTACAGCTGGAGGTTGTCACTGTCAGGGATTCAACAAAACACTGTTTATGTGAAGCTCAGCTTTGACAAATGGTGTTTTTTTTTCACCAGGATTATTTAATCTTTTATTATCAATTCCCTCTTCTGTTCCATTTGCTAGAAACAGAGGAGTTTGTTTCATTTCCACATTTGTGATGTTACACGTGTGTGTGTGTGTGTGTGTGTGTGTGTGTGTGTGTGTGTGTGTGTGTGTGTGTGTATAATGTTTTCAAGTGCAACATTAGTTTTAGAAAAACAAGCAGAAGAATAGTTCAAAGCTAAGAGTCTTTTTGTGCAAGTAGCCTGCCTGATGTTATATATTTTATATAACCTCCTATTATCCAAGTGCATCCAAGCAGCAGGAGATCAAATATTAGCAGGTAACCAGTTGGGGAGATTTTAATAGAATGATGGCACCAATCAACTAGTCATTCTGGCTTTATGGTTGTTTGATAGAAAAAAATTCACGCTGAAAAATGAGGATTTCATTGCCTCAGTAATAAGATGTATAAACCCATATGTCATTGTGTATCAGGTTAAAAATTTGCAGCCCCTTGACCAGATTTGTGGTAAAGTTATTGATTTTATGATCTATTTCCAGATCAGTTTTCAAAATATCCATCTGTTACCTGTGTTGGAGACAGGGTGATCTGTGATGGTTTCATCACACGTCCATGTTAGAGCAGCCTATTAATGTATTTTTAGGAGTACCAGTGGTGTTTTTGTGCTATCATGAGCATTTAGATTTTATTTGTGCAGAAGTGAATGTACATATTAAAATGTAATTGCACATAAGGTTAAACTGTTTCAGCCATAGTGGACATATGCTGTCCAATTTAGTCTCAAGTAGTGAGGTAAAGAATGTCTTGCAGGAAATTGTAATAAGTAAAATAAGTAGCTCTAGGGACTGATAAATCAATTAAGAGAGAGGGTTTACTGCATTCATTTATGTCTCAAGGGAGTGCTGCTGACGCTGACATCTCTCATTCAACATTGGCCACTAGTCCTAACAGCCATTTTAGGTTTCATTGCTGCAATTTAAACTCACAGAAATGCTGTGTATGGACAGAGGGCAGAGACAAGGAAGAGAGGAAGAAGGAGTAGCGCAATTATAATGTAGTACTCAGTATACCCTTACACTGGAACCCCCCCCCCCCTTTTTTTTTTTTAAATGCTGTGGTTCAAAAAATCATGACGCCTGCAAGGCAGTAGAAAATGGGGGAGGGGTAGGCAAGGCAGGCACAAAAGTGAGTGAGAATGGAGAGAGGAGAGGAGGAAGGAGAGGCACGGCCAGAGCATCCCTGACAATGGTTGAGGAAAGCACGGGGTAAGGCGATTGGTTGAGGGAGAATGTAGCGTCACTGCCAGTGAGGGGGAGCGCTGAGGATGCTCCGCTGAACTGGGAGGGAATACATTCGCTGGGAGTTTGCATTGAAAGCACAGCCATTATCAGCTGTACACTGAGAACAGGGACTCCTCTGCAGAATCATTTTCCACAACCAGTGCTTGTTGACTCTTCTGCTCTCTCAGCTGTAGCCATGAATTATTTGCGTCGGCGTCTCTCGGACAGCACGTTCATCTCTAACCTGCCCAATGGCTACATGACAGACCTCCAGAGGCCTGACCAACCTCAGCCTCCTCCACCTGCCACCACCATCATCACCCCTGCCAAGTCTCCTACAGCTGGGCCTACACCTCCGGCCACTTCCCCTGCTCCAGAGAGGAAACCCCAACCATCTCACTCCACCGGAGCAGGTTTCTTTAGCTCCATCACCAACGTTGTTAAGCAGACAGCTGCCTCAGCAGGGCTAGTGGAGCAGACCCAAGTCACGACGCCTAAGAAGTTCAAGATTCTCCTGGTAATTGACGAACCACAACAGGAGTGGTAAGACAATGTTGCTCTCCTTAGTCATATTAGTCATCCTTAGTCAATCTTGAAAAATTTATGCGGTTGCGGTATTGTTTGTTTGCTCATCCTTAATGCTGATTTTTCTCTGAATGTAGTAGTCAAGTAAGGGCTAAAGAACCGCTGAAACAACATCTGTATCGAGCACCCTACAGATGTGAATGGGTGTTGCTGCTGTGATTGGATGGTACAGCAAACCAGTGTTACGATAATACATAAAATCAACAAATACTTAACGAAATACACCGTTGATTCTCAGCAGTAATGACAGGATACCAAGGAATTTTATTGTCTTCTATTTTATGTGTGTTGTATGAAATATTATTTCGTTGTGTTATACATATTGGAGCAATAAGCAAAAGTTCAAGACAGCTGTCTGTTAAAAAATAGTGAATTAACCAAATTATTAATGGTATTGTCCTGTAATGTGGCATTTTATCATTCCTAAAAAATGATGTTCCGCTGGTTGTGCAGAATTTGGAAATGTACATGATTTCTCTGGATGTAGTCTAAATGCTGCAGTGCTTTCCCTCCATCAATGGGGTTTCCCCCTGCTAACTGACAGACGATCACATGACATACCCTGCTCTAACATAGGGAACAATAAATGTAACTGAATGGAGACCATGGTGCATAGGGTTCCATTAGTGGATCATACAAGAGGTGTACCGTAGATAGGTAAGTATAATCATTAAAATGAAAAAGAATAGAAAAATGGGAGAAAGGACGGCATGCCAGTAATGTTAAGAGTGGGCTTACCTTGAGGCATTTAAGCCATTACAAACACACACAGAACAAGCATCTTTGTCGGTCTACTGTGGTAAGGAATTAAAGTGCTCTAAATGAGTATGCACATGGATTTAGAGGAAACCTATTTTGCGTAGAGGCTGATATCTTGTTGAAAAGTGAACAACACTTGTTTACACAGCTGACACAGTTTGTGTGTGCTAGAGTCGTGCAGCTGGATGGTACAGTGGATTCCCCACACATTTGCCCAATTCATCAATGTAATTTCTTTTTGCCTCCTGTTGTGTAGTATTTACACGATGAGGATTATCAGATGCTACCTATAGAAAACAGGAAACTTAAGCTCAACTCTGAGATGCTTAACTAATGTACAGATCAAAGACATACTTTAACACTAGATTATATGCTGACCTTGTGAAATCTTTGGGCTTTCCTAAGGCATGAAAATATTAAAATCTGAATTAAATCTACATCCCCCCTCTTTAAGCACCAAAATATTTGGCTATTTCAGTCAGATTTCAGTAAAGAGAAATGAAGTAATTCATTACCTACAGTAATTTTGTAACTTTTTTTTTTGACAGAGCAAGGAAACAGACTATCCTCTGACTTATTTGTGCACTGTGCAAATGACAAAACACCTTCATATTTGGAATCCATCTATGCTGGATGTCATATTGTATACATGTGTGGCACATCAAGCTTAATATTTCGTCTATATCGTGTATCATGTAGAGAATTTATCAAGATGGCCAATGTAGCGGGACTTCATTTTACACTGAATAAGATAGATATACGTTTTCTGAGGAAACTGCCTTCAAAACACACCAAATCACACAAATATTAATATATGGGCTTGCCTTATTCACGTGTCCTCTTATCCTGTTTATGTGTGCACGACTGGCCATTTATATAATAGATACCTTCATCAATCTTAATAAGATCAGACCCTCATTAGCGGGATGGATGCTGCCCTTATGCATTCACTTGTTCCACATCTGTTATGAGTGGAAAGGAGGCTGCTTGTTGAAGAATAAGGATTTCAGTCTGATGTGCCAAGACACTGATGCTGTTCTGCAGTTCTGGCCGAAGAACACCATATAATACATTAAACTAAAACCATGTCATTCATCAAAGGTCATTCTAATTGAGAATATTGAGTGTGTTGGGCTCGGAGTAAGATAATGTTTCACACTCCATCATTCTCACTGATGATATTTAAAAAGATCTGATATGAAGTAGTTCCTCTGTATTTGTAAAATTTGTATTTGTGAAATGTCAAGTGATTTCCTGCTCTGACATTATTTCTGTTGCCAAATGCAGTTTATTCAATATTAGGATCCGCATAGGATGATGCTGAAGACATTGCTGCAGTTT